ATTACATTAATCATTAGTGTAGCTCTGTTCCAGTGTGTGGAGAATGCGGATAATTGAGCACAACAGTCCTTTAACATCATCTCTATGCTCTCCATGATTTTGGTGGAATCGTGCAACGACCTGGTCCCTGAATCTCTGCCAGGTCTGGGTTCACGATCACCAACAAGCCTGGTACACTGTGCAGCATCTGTGAGGCAGAACCATGTGGTGTTCCTTGTAGGCCTCCCAGCAGGCATGAACCCGTATTGGTTCTTCACTTGTTTGCTTTTGGCAGGTAATAGCTTTTTACTCTCAGTTTTTATTTTTATTAGCACATATTTGCATTACATAATGGTTACATTCCTTGTGGAGAGTCAGTACATGTGCAAAACCACCTTGATTCTTTCTTTAGTCTCCTTTATTCCTCCCCCTTGTTTGATCACCTTCCCATTTGAAAAAATCTATTTCCCTACTCCTTCCCATTTGAAAAAGATCTATTTCCCTATTTACTATTATCTATCTTTTATTTTGCTCTTTACATTTTGAGTTTCTCAAATAAGAGAAGCATGTAGTACTTAAGCTTATGTGCCTGATGTATTTTGCTTAACATGATGGTCTCAAGGTGCATTCATTTCCTTACAAAGGACTCAAGTTTATCCTTCTTTATGACAAAGTAGTACTCCATTATATATTAATACCACATTTTCTTTACCCATTCCTCTACTGATGGACATATAGGCCACTTCCAAGATTTAGTTACATGAATTGTGCTGCTACAAACATGGGTATGCATGTACCATTGTAATATGATGTCTTTAACTCTTTCGGGAGGTAATATCTTTAACACATTAAAGAACCAACTTGGGGCCTCAACTGTTTTAGGACATTGTGATCTCAGTAAACATCAGTGAGCAGATTGGCCAACCTCTTACTCAAATCTGCAATAACTTGGGTGATCTAGGCATTTAAGCAGGGTCGATTGTGGGTCAAGAATTGTCTTACAGTGATAAGAAGGTGTGAAGTTCTAGAAAGCTTAGAATACTCAGCTGTGTGAGCTCTAAGACAGCGATTTTCAGCACAGTGTTGGTTCTAGCTAGGTAAAAATGGCCAAGGATTTTGCTGACCCAGAAATTTTTCTGTGACATTAAAACACTGAGACTATGAAGTTTATCCTCAGCTTTCACCCTTTCATAGGTTTCACAGTGTGCTTGAATTGCCACTAGTGTAATCCCTTGGCTCTGTATTAGGGCACTTTTTTACTGGAGGCAAAGGACAAATGGTGCTGACACATGAGTTGAGATTTAATGTATGTTAACAGTTTAGAGGAGAGCTGGCTAAGTCATAAGCACCTAATAAATATTAACTATTGCCATTATTATCATCATTAGTGTCATCATCACCATCAACCATGGGGGGGATGGAAGGCATTCAAAGATTATTAGATGAGTTTCACAGAAATTATTGTGTAAAATCATTTTGACATTTTAGACCATATAAATAGAAATTCAAACTACTCCCAAGCTTTAACTATTACAGATTGTGCAGCTATAACATGGGTGCACATATATCAGTGTGGTGTGATGTTTCTAATTCTTCAGGGAAAATACCCAGAAAGGGAATAGGTGGGTGGAATGGAACCTTTAATCCTAGTTTTTTGAGGAATCTCCACACTGGTTTCCACAGTGGATGCATCAGTCTATACTCCCACCAACAGCGGAGAAGGGTTCCTTTCTCCCTATAGCCCCTCCAGTATTTGTTGTTGGTTGATTTTTTGGTTATAGCCATTCTTTCTGGGGTGAAATATAATTCAGTATTTTAAAAATTTGCATTTCTTAAATGACCAGAGATGTTGAATATTCCTTCATATATTTATTTTTTGTTTGTACTTCTTCATCTGAGAAGTATATATTCATTTTAGATGCCCATTTTTGGGTTAGGTCTTTAAATTTAGGGCAACTGATTTTTTTCAGTTCTTTCTATGTTCTAGATATTAGTCTTTTGTCTGAGGAACAGCTGACAAATGCTCATCAACCAATAAATGGATAAAAAAGATTTTTTTTTTTTATAGTATGGAGTACTACTTAGTCCTAAGTAAGGATAAACTTGAGACATTTCTAGGTAAATGGATGCACTTTGAGATCATACTCTTCACGGAAATAAATTGGACACAAATATTTGTGCATCATTTCTCTGGTGTGAGAAACTGAAAGCATAAATAAGGACCAAAGTGTATAATAGATATTGTAGGCTAGGAAGAAAATGTTCAAATGGGAAGGAGAACTAGAGAGGGGGGAGAGGGGAGGTAAGGAAGGAAAAAGGAAAAAAAGGAAAGAAAGATAAAATGGAAACAAAGATTTCATAAAGAAGAAGAGAAGAGGGATTGAATGGAGGACAGAGGAATGGGGGTAAAAAAAAAAAAGAACCAAGATATAGCCTATACAGGTACAAACTCCTTATGATGAATGTGATCATTATGTATATTTAACTGTACCAATAAACTTAATTAATTAAAACAAATAAAAGGATACAGCAAACTAAAAGAATGAGGTACTATTATATATTTATGGCAATAGATAAAATAATCCCAAATAGTGACAACAGCAAATGCTGGCCAGGATGTGAAGCAGCAGGAACTCATTCATTCTGATGGGAATGAAATGGCAGGGCCACTTGAAGACAGCCTTACTGCTCCTCATAAAGCTAAACATGTTCTTGCCAATAATCCTTGGTATTTATCTAACTGATAGGAAAATGCAGGTCCACAAAAATTTGCACAAGCATGTTTATAGTGACTTTATTTGGTTTTTCTTTTTTTGGGAGGGGGATACCAGGAATCAAACTCCTGACCTCTCGCTTGCCAGGTAGGCGTTGTGCCACTGAGCTATATCCCCAGCCCCATAGTGACTTTATTTTTAATTGCTAAAAGCTGGAAGCATTCAAGATATTCTTAGGTGAATGGAAAAACAAACTATGGTAAATCCATATAACAAAATAGCATTTGGTGACAAAAATAAGTGAACTACTGTGCAACAAGGAGAAACTGTAAACACATATTGCTAAGGAAAAGAAGCCAGTCTGTAAAAGGTACATACTGTTTGGTTCCAACTGGGTATTCTTACAAAAGTAAGGCTGAAGAAACTATAAAGTATCATTGGCTGCCAGGCATTCCACAGGAAAAATGGAAGGATAAATAGATGAAATACAAGAAACTATTGAAAGGAAATGATGGATATATGACATTCTATATATCTCAAAACCCATGCAATTCTGCATCACAAAGACCAAACACTGTTCAATCATATTAATGCAAGAAACTAACAGGGGAAATTGTCTAGGGGAGAAGAGAATATATGAGAACTTCCTGTGCTTTACTTTCAGTTTTTATGTAGGTATAATAGTACACTAAAATTTCTATTAATTTTTAAAAAAGTGATCAAATAAGTCACAATTCAAAGAAATTCAAGCTACATCTAATTCTTAGGTAAAGGGGAACCCTCAACCTTCATCTTATATTTGGTGGTTCTTAGTGCAGTCTGAATCTCCAAATCACTTGTATGAATTTCCAGAGTATGACAAGAATCTGGTCATTTGACTGATTGCCCACACCAGGTAGAAGTATAAAGGCCGAAGGTTTAGTCTTTCTTCTGGTCTGAAAAGCCAGTTGTGAGAAGTTGAAGTTCAAGCTTCAAGTGTTAGTCCAACAGGGTTGTCTTGATCCTCTAAGTACAAAGATCGGAAGAGTGAAACTGCTTTGACAACTCAAATTCTCGTTATTCGGCTGTTGGTGTTCAGACCTACCTACTTTCTCCTAACTTGGTTGCTCACCCCTGTAGATTTCCTTCCTCCTTCCTCTTCCTATGCACCTCCCTTCTTGTTTATTGATCTACTATATTTTAGACACTACCTAGGCACTGGGGAATCTGTGCTCAAGTGGAATCTCTACCCTCATGAAACTTATACACTACAAGGAAAAAAAGACAGTTTTATAGATATGTCAGAAAATGATCGTATCAGACACCTCATTAGTGTTTGAAAAAGTTCCTTCTCCAAAAACACAAAGAGTTCCAGAGAGGCTCCTGATGCCCAGGTTCAGTAGCAAGTAGAAACACAGAAATGACACCCAGAATTTTGGGGCAGATTTATTTTATGTCCATGGGCACTGATCAGGATGATTCCCAAAATATCAGAGCATCACCTCTGGTGGTTTGGGGTTTATTTGGGATAAGCAAGCAGGAAATACAGAAGCAGAGCACTTGGCTATCTTTGATTGGTTCTTACAATATGCATCTACTATCTGGCTATGCATCACAGAGACCAGCTGTTTCTAAGAGACAGAAGTAACAGGAACTGTTACTGGGGCAAGTAACAGACTGGCTGGGGGGCATTTTCTGCTAAACAGGGAGTTGCATTTTTTTCACTGACATTTATGTTCTGAGAAGTATAGGCCTCTTAAGGACCCAGATTCTAGGTTTCTTGTACTTGCTTAAATTACAGGATGATTTCTGATACTAGTTGAGAACTTTACTGCCAAAGAGATCATTCAGGTCCCAGTGCCTCCTGTCGTCATTACTTTTACATTGCTGAGACACAATACCCAACACCCACAGCTCTAAGGAGGAAAGGTTTATTTTGGCTCACAGTTTGTAGAGGTTTCAATCCATAGTGGATTGGCTCCAAGGCAGGGCAGCACGACAGAGAGGCATGGCAAAGAAGAAACAGTTAATAGCATAGCAGGGAAGAACCAGAGAGAGAGAGAGATAAAAAGAAGTAGGAGGGTGATAGGCCTGGGCCACACCCCCAGTGACCCACCTTCTGTAACCAGGCTTTACCTCCCAAATCATATTTAGCTATGAACTTATTAATGGACCAATCCATTGATAAGTATTATACCCCCATGATTCAATAACCTCCCCAAATCCCCATGAAGCCTTGGGGGTACATCTAGATATAAACCAAAGCATACCCATTCCCTCACTGTGCAGCTAATTCAGCACGATTAACCTTTCTTTCTCACCTTGCAGGTGAATGCTGAGAAACTCTGTAGTCTGTATGAAGCGCGCTTGAGTGAAGGAAATATAAAACTGGACGAGGTGACTCAGTTGGCAAATGACCTGAAAGCACAGAAGACAAAGCTACAGAATGACAGTGGTAAGTCAGTGACCGGCCTTACCTGTGAGTGATGCTGAGTCCTGGGAGACTCTTGAAGGACAACTTAGATGATAACTACCCAGAGCCTGGGTGGCATATAAAGATTGCAGGGGAGGAACAGAGCTTCTAGTTACCCTTGTCCAGAGACACGTTTTTTTTCTGGGAAAGGTCACTTAAGTGCTGCTTTTGGATGCCCTGACAAAAGCAAAAGCAATTATGCAGCTGGTAGACGCCATCCTCAAAATCAGAGGTTAGCAGGGTTTGTCCATAAGGACTACAAGACATGACACTTTTCTTTTTAGACAACTTTACCGTTTTGAATAGACATTTTTTGAATTTGTATAATGAACCGACATCCTTCTTACATTCAATTACAGCTCTCATCTGCACAGTGACTTAGACGGGTGGTGGTGAACCAGTGGCACGTGTATTGCAGTGGGCATGCAGGGCCCTCTCTGCGGGCACACGAGCTGAGTTGCCCCAGCATTTCCCCAGCAGCCAAGCATTCACATGTAATTGCAGTGTAGCACTTTGCAATAAATAAGTGGGGTTTGGGTTCCCATTTGGACAGTTGGTTTGTAAGAGCTTTGCCACAGCTGGCCCACACAATTGGTCCCTCCTTATCCTCCTGCCCTCTTCTATTTCATAGTGCATCTCTCACTCTGCCATAACCACACTGACCTCTTCACTGTGCTTCAGACACAGCAGACAGATTCCTACCTTCAAGTCTTGGCCTAGGTCTTTCCTCTGCCTGGAACTCCTTTTTTAACTCTGCAAAGATTTCAAGATAGGAGTGAATCAAGTAGATATCTGAGGGCTGGGGATTTAGCTCAGCGGCACAGTGCCTGCCTGGCAAGTGTGAGGTTGTGAGTTCGATTTCCAGTACCAGGAAAAAAAAAAAAAGTAGATATCTGAGGAAAGGCACGCTAGTCCTTTTGAAAGTCGTCATCTGAGCACTGTCGATCCATATGCTCAGGGGCTGGGGACTTAGCTCAGCGGCAAAAGCACCTGCCTGGCAAGTGCAAGGTCGTGAGTTCGGTTCCCGGTACCGGAGAAAAACCAAAAAAAAAAAAAAAAAAAAAAAAAAAAAAAAGATCCATATGCTCAATGTGCTGATGTGCTTTTTTACCTTTTTTGTGTTTATTACTTTCATTCAAACTTCCTACTTGCGACATAAAGAATATTTTTGTTTCTATCTGCCAGAAGGGAAGTTTCACAAAGGCCGGACACTTTGTTTTGTTCCCTGATATAGGTCAATTGTCTAGACCACTGCCCAGTACTAATTAGAGCTCTGCAAAATTTTGGCAAGTAATTAAAAATAAAACAAATGTCCCGTGCATATTGCTATCAGTCCCTATTTTTTTGTTTAACCAACCTTTTATATTGTAGCAATCTATTTGTGGTTTTTCTTTTTAAATTTATTATAAGCTTTTTATATCTTGCATACTTGGTCATTTATAACTGCTCCTAATATATGAAACAGATGGATGATAGTTTACTTAGCCTTGTCTTGTAACTTGTTCTTTTTTCCTTTGAATAGAATGTGGATAAATGTTTATTTATAATTAGAATTATTTTTAGAAGTGTATTTCTAGCACAGAATTCCCAAGTCAATGGAAACACACAATGTGTTTGTAACGCCCAGAGGCATACACTTTTGCATAGAGAGTGAGCATCATGCAGGCTCTATAACAATCTTGCTTAAGTGGACACCTCTTTTTCTAGATACTACATCTAGTATGTTAAAACAAAATTTCTGAATTGAAAGGGTTTATTGAAAAGATTGAGATGCTAGACAGAAACAATAGGACCGTCTTGGAACAAATTCCCTAAGTATCCAGGAGGACAACCAGATAACAGCTGTACAAAGGTCCATCAGATCTAAGAAGTTAGGATATTTTATAATGGAAGGTCACTTACACTGAACTACTGCTTCTGACACTGGAAATAGATAAGACATGTTATTGTTTGATTGGTTGATTCTACTGGTTGAATGCTGCTTTTTAACGGTTAATCTGTAACATACAGAGAGGGAATATGGTACAGTTTTCTTTTCTTTGTTGGTTTAGCTCAGAGCTGTAGTTAAAATGAATTTATTCTTTCTTATCTTACAACCTTCCATCTACAACTAAATTTAGGAAATCTCAGATTTCTTTTGTTAACAAGGGTCAAAGCTGAAGTAAAATGATTTAGCAACACAACCACTGTTAATTCCTATCATTTGAATTGAAAGCCCATATCATTTTTAATGTTCCTGCATTGTTTTGTTTGTATTTTGCTATTCTCTTTAAAATAAAAAAATAAAAACCAAGAAATCTAGAAAAGTGAAAATGTTGTAGGTTGTAGGAAGGGCATCAAATAGGACTGTTCTTACATTGCCAACCAAGTGTGTGACGCTTGGCCTTGTTACAAATCTTCCAGTTTTATTTTCTGTGCCACTGAGGATTTCAGTGTGTGACCTTCACAGTCCAGAAACAAAGTCAGAGAATATTTGTGTGTATAGCTCTGAAGGAAGTTTTGTATAAAACTTGTTTTCATAGGCACTGGATGCCTTCCCATCATTCTTGATTAGTGTACTGTTCGTTATTTTGGTAAGGAAATTGATGGGTGAGTGAAATGAACTCAGTATGATCTGATAATTCTGCTTGGGATACAGGATCTTTTTACCCCCTCCTTTAATTCTTATATTTGCCTTTTTGCTTTTGTATCAATTAAATCACTTATGTACATATCCAAGCTTCCCTTTGCCTCAGTGGGTCCATGCCCTAGGTTTTTGGACTGCATTTCTTCTTCTACCAAAGATTCTTTCTCATGCCCTGTCCTATGAGTTGCTCATGCTCTGATTCCAGAGAAGACCCAGAATAAACATGATTAAATTGTGTAAGTTGGTACCGGTCCTATGACACAATTGTCTTGTTAGCCTCAGTCACCTAGTGGATTTGTGATTTCTTTAGAATCTCTTTAAATAGGATATTTCACCCAGAGATTTATAGTGTTTGGTCTTCAGACTTCCAGTCTTCCTCAAGACCTTTAAGGGGAGTCTACGAAGCTTAAGCTACTTCATTATAATACTTAGATGGTATGTGCCTTTAAATTCTTCTTTCATTTGTGTTGATAGTGCAGAAGAACTGACAGTTAAAATTGCTGGAGCCTTTTCACAAGTCTAGCCAGCTCTGCATTGTGCTAATAATCATGGTGTTCACTAGTATGAACTCATAATTTTAAAAGTCAGTTTTACTTAAGAAGCTCCTTAATGAAGCAGAAAGATTAAATTTCTACACCTTACTTCTAAATGTGTATATAACTTTTTAATATTCTATATGACAGCATGAGAAATATGCATAAAGAATTTCTGTTTTGATTGAAACAAAGCATTTGATTGTCTAAGTACCAAACAATGGCGGTAGCTTTTTCAGAGAGTACTACTTTTAACTTGAACGAATGATCGACAAACAAGCTATTCTTATTATTATCCTTATTAGGCCTATACATATGATCGAAGTAAGCCTGTCACTTCAAGGAAAACAACTGACAACATGTGTTTCCCACGAAATAATAGCATTTAGGCAAAACTTGGGTTATGGAAAGCATGTATATATGACCATGAGCTTGAAGGATTTGAATTCTTAAAGACTATTCTGATGAGATCATTGGTGATAGTAACACATGTTTTTATATTGCATACAGTATTGTGCATATACATACATATTCATCTTTCCTGGGTTCCTGGTACCTTCCTCCTCAAGCTCTTGCAATCTGTGGGTGGAGTGATGCGTGTCTTTTGTATGCTTGAGATGACTAGTGGCTGTGACTGCCTCAGGATGAAGGCTGGTGTTCAGAAAGACCAAGCCATTATTAAAAGGTCGGTGCAGTCATTCCTCGCTGTATCACACTTCACTTATTGTGGCTTCACTGTATCACGGGTTTTTTTTAAATATATATATATATACCTAATTCTGTATCGCAGAGTTTTTGCTATATTGCTAGATTTTGTGGCATATGGGTATTTATATAATATTTATGATTTTAATTATTTTTGCCTAAAAATTTAAAAACAATATAAAAATGTTAATTCAAACATATTAAAGGAATATTAAATCGAGATAAAATACTGTACAGTATGTATTTCATCAGCGGATGAATACCGCACTGTACACAATGGAAATGCAGTATGCCACTACTGCCAGCCTGAGCCCTGCAGAGCCACCTGGCCATGTGAGGAGACCTGCACCGGGTGGGCACCGCTTATAGGTGAGGACAGCGCATGTGGCACCAGCACCGGCCCCTGCCCTGTGCTAGGAGCCAGCCTGGGCAGGGCAAGCGGTGTGGGCCGGGCGCTGCGCTCCGCGGCTGGGCTGCGGCTGCTGCTACAGCTTGGCTTGGCTGCCCGGAGCACCCCCGCTCCCACCCGCTCCTGCCCTCCACCCGCACCTGCCCCATCCTCCCCTCCTGCCCTTGAGCTGAGACGCTGATTTACCCGGGCGTCCCCAGGTGCGGTCCCAGCTGGAAGCCCAGGCTTTGGGAAGAAGGGTCTCCCCAGCAAGGTGCGCAGAAGTGTGGAAAGGGTTTATAAAGCCTTAAAATAAGTAATAAAATAAATACAACACTGCTACTTCGCGGATTTTCACTTATCGCGGGATCTCTGGAACATAACTCCTGTGATAGGTCACTGTACTTTTAGCCTAACCCCTGACCTTTCGGGAGGAAAGAAGGGCTAGACGTTCAGTTGATCACCAGTGACCAATGATTTAGTCAGTCCGCTAGGGAATGAGGCCTCCCGGAAGCCCTGAAGGAAGTAGACTTCAGGTCGTCATCGCTACCTAAGCACACTGGGGCCCTGAACAGTGCACCCCTCTCCACAGCTGGTGCTGTGCATCTCTTCCAACCGGATTGTCTGCCGTATCCTTTGTACTAAACAAGTATAAATAAGTTTTTCTGAGTTTGTGAGGCTAATTTAGCAGCTTAATCGAATCTCAGGAGAGAGTCGGGGAAACCCTGATACACATTTAGTAGATCAGAAGTACTGGTGACAATCTGGACCTGTGATTGGCATCTGGAGGGGGAGAGGCCTTATTAACTATGTTCTCAACTCGTGAATCTCATGCTATCTCCGGCCAATAAGTGTCACAGTTGAGTTAAATCATAGTGACCACTGGAAAACTGCTTGGTGTGTAAGGAAAACATACCTAGTGCCACAAATGTTGAGTGTCTAAGAGTACAGAGAAAAAATGCTTCTTCCCTCCTCTTTTACAGTATATATGGAAACTTATCAACATTTGGAAGAACTGCATAATTAAATGAGCATATATTTTTCAACTAACCCCTGCATGATATGACAAAATGACACGACTATAGATTGATTCAAGTTTAAGATCTATCAATAAAATTTAGCAATTAATTAATTAATTTAGCAATTAATATAAATGAATAAAAATTTTCATTCATATGGTTTGATTATATATTGTTAGTAACTTTTATTTTAATTAATTCATTAATTAATTTCGTCTTTTTGCAACAGGGTCTCACTATGCAGTTCAGGCCAGCCTTGAGCTCAGGCCAGCCTTTGTAGCCCAGGCTGGTCTCAAGCTCAAACTTGAAATGATCCTCCTGCCTCAGCCTCCTAGGTGCTGGGGTTACAGATGTGTGCCACCATGCCCGGCATTTCTTTTTATTTTAAAGATAATATCAAAGCAACAACAACATAGGTAAAAACAGCACAAAAATAATAAAAATGATACAGGGTTTCAAAACAAAATGATAGGAATTAACTGTGATTATATTACATATTGTCATCTTCAATGAAGTTGCTCAGATTGCCAGATATAATAATGCAAGATTGATTAAACCATTAAGGAGAATAAAAAATAATATAAAAGATTAGAAACAATACAGAGCTTTACTAAACAAGATGGTAAAAATTCACCAGTTGTTGTTATACTGCATATTGTTGTCTTCAAATTAGTTGTTCAGATTACCAGATATAAGCATGCAAAATTGGTCAAAAAAATTTAAGCATTAACTGTTCCTTTCAATATGTTACTAACTCTTGAGACTTTCAAATGATGATCATTAAATGATGATCTGAAATATCTAAAAAGACTGTTATGTATACCACCACACCTTTCCAATCATGTATCTGTACTTAATATGACATGTAGAACTATATCAGTCTTTTCACCTTCTTGTTTTAAAAAAAATAGATTTCCTGCCTTAATATTGTGTATATAAATGTTAATACTGTATATCTTTTAATTATTATTATAAAGTAGATTAATACAAATTTTAAACTTCTCTGTTCTATATACCATTAATACAAAAACCACATGAACAAAATTTCTTTACAGTCTTCAATAATTTTTTAAAGCAGAATATGTGTTTCTGAGACCAAAATTGTTTGGGAATTGCTGCTTATACTCAAATAGATTCTTCCTTATAGTGATAAGAGCTTTATAACTAGTTTGTAGGCAGAAGAGTGAGAATCATAAGAATAGTGGGGTTTTTATTTTTGTAGTGAAGATTGGACCCAGGGCTTTGCAGAATATTATGGGTTTTTAGTGTTGAACTGATGCTAGTAGAAACAACTACTTTTGTCTAGGTTTGGCTCAGCCTTTATCACCATTTCTAACAATCTTGGTGTATCTGTGCTATAATTAATCAAATAATTCAAGCATGGAGGTCAAGTGTTATACAATTTTCCTCTCTCATCAACCACATATTTTGCCATTTAATGATTATTACTAATATTTATTTAGCAATTCAGTCTGCAATGAACATTTATACTCATTTAATTTTCATCTTTTATTACCTTGTTATCTTCATTTTATAAATGAGGCAAAAACTGCAATTATACACAAATTGTACAGCCAGAAATTGGTACAGCCAAGTATGATAAGAGAGCAGGGATAGGAGAAAGAATATTTTCTTTAGGATAAGAACTTAATTTGCAGCTTCCTCCACTAACTAATAAGCTATCTCTGTTTCTGTCTTAGTCATGTTTAAATAAGTTGCAAGAGTTTCTTCCTCTGTAATGGGGTATATAACTCTTTCAGTATTTAGGAGTTATGTGAATTAAACTAATACACATAAAGGGCCTACAGCATGGAAGATTCTCCAAAAATATTAACTAATATCATCTGCTATTTACTCATACTGACTACTAAAAATCAGCTCTCATTTTGGGAGCTGTCTTATGAGTCCTACTATAACAGGACTCCCAGATCATTTCCTAAACATCAAAATATTTGGGTAGGAGTCATTGCCATTGCCCATAAAGTCAGTAAGTTAAGTAGGGGATGAAACAGCTAAGAAAAATCAGGATTAACTTATTTTGTGAAATCTTTCTTCTGTAGGTGAGTCCCTAAAGAAGCTGGAAGAAAAAGAGGCTCTGTTAAATCAGCTTTCTAGGGAAAAGGGCCACCTCACACGGCAAATTGAAGAACTGAGGGGGCACCTTGAAGAGAAGACCAGGGTAAGGCATCTCCTCTTTCTCACCAATAACTTAACTGCACATTAAACAGACAAACAAACAAAGCATGGTGAGTCAACGTCAGTATCTTTTCATGTATAAGGAGAGAAACTGCTCTAAATGTGATGGGACAAACCCATGTTAGACCTTGTATGTGTCAGGAAGAACTCTGATGCCTGAAGGATCTTCCTCAGTGATTCAAATCACTTCTATAGTTCGTCAGGTTTAGAGCAAGCAACGTATGTGTTTCTGTGTGGCATTACTTCTTTAAAGAAGGTCAGCAAGGATTTATATTTGAATCTGAACTGCCCACAAAAGAGTGAAATGAAATAAAAAGACTGGATGAAAATAAATAGGACTGGATTAGGTCAATATTACTTTTAATTTGTCAATAAATTATAGAAATTAGTCACATATATCTCTTCTATAATATCATATATATTATACATTGCTGTTAGTGAGTGACCCTAGTGAAAGTTTAGTGACTAACATGAGAGATGAATTCTTATAGCCCCAGCATTTAAGGCTAGTTCTTAGTTCATACTCAAAGTACCTTGTTACGAGACCCCAGAGTACCTCACTTGTGTGTGACCTCACGCATTCTGAGGGTAGAGTAATAAATCTCACCTCATGGAAGGGAGGTGAGTCTTTGGTTTTAAATACTTTGCCATTTGATTCCGATCACTCTCCTTATTTTCTATATTATACATTTTTACATTTAAAAACTTTAAACTTTAAAAATTGAAATATATCCCTATAATATATCTTTATCTCTTTGAGATGGTACCTTGAAGGGAAATAGCAAGGTCAGATGGAATTTCTAGTTTTAGTGTTTTGAAGAAGTCCATATTGATTTCCGTAGTGGTTATACTAGTTCACATGCATACATACCATGTTTATAACAGCACAGTTCAGCCCATATGTCCATAAAGAGATGAATGGAAAAATAAAGTGTGGTGTTTATACACAATTGAGTACCACTCTGCAATAAAAGAAGATGCACTTGAGTCATCTGGAGGAATATGGATGCATCCTGAGACTGTCATGTTAAGTGAAATAAATCAGACACACAAGCTTAAATATCACATGGTTTCTTTTATATGAGAAAGCCAGAGTACAAGTAAAGAGCAAATGAATGTGGAACAAAATGTCATGTCCAAAATCCTATCATTTGCAAATTGGAATAATTTAATTTGTTCTTTTTCAAATTAGATGCCTTTTTATCTCTTGCTTAATCATTCTAGGAAAAAACCCCTTCCATTTAACTTGTTTTTGACTATGTTAAAGAGGAGTGCTGCAAATTCATATCCTTTTGTCATACATTTTAGAAGTGCTTTCAGCTTTTCTATACTTAGCATGATGTTTGTTGTGAGTTTTTCATATATAGATTTTTTTGGTACTGAAGTATATTCCTTCAGCGCCTAGTTTTTTGAAGTTTTCCTAAATTGTATCATTTCTTTGCGTGTGTCTGTTGAGATGGTTATGTATTTTCATCCGTCTGTCAGTATGCAGTATTATGCTTACTGATTCGTGCAGACTGCATTCCTGGGGTAAATTTCGCTTGATCTTGGTGTATAATCTTTTTGAGGTAGTGCTAGATTCTGTTTGCTAGCATTTTGTTGTTAACTTTAGCATCTGTGTTTATCGGGGACATTGGGTTTTAGTTCTGTCTCTCTCCCTCTCTTTTTTGTGTTTTTATCTTTTCATTTTTTTCTTGGGAAATGTTTGTGATACATAATGTTTACACTCATCTTGGGCCATTGGTACGTATATATCATATATTGACAGTTTCAATCCCTTTTCCTCCAACGGTTCCACCTCCTTTCAACCTCCTCATTTTCTCCAAAATGTTTGCCTTCCAGTTTCCTACCAGTCCTCTTTTATTTTACTCTTTAATTTACTTATGTTTGGATTTTTCATATAAGAGAAACCATATGATATTTAATCATCTGTGTCTGTTTATTTCACTTAACATTATGGTCTCAAGATGTATATATTTTTTTATAAGTAAAGTAAATTCACTTTTCTCTATGGCTGGGTAGAATCCCATTGTGTGTATATGCCATACTTTCTTTATTCATTCATCTATTGATGGAGATCTAGGTGTTTCCAGAGTTTAGATATTGTGAATTGGGCTGCAATAAACACGGATATGCATGTACGGCTGTAGTGTGATGACTTTAACTCTTGAGAATACACCCAGGAGAGATATAGCTGGGTCAGATGGCATTTATATTTTTAGTTTTTTGAGGAATCTTCATACTAACTTTTATAGTAGTTGCATCAGCTTATATTCCCACCAACAGTCTAGAAGTTTCTCTTTCTCCCCCATATTCTAGTGAATTTTTGGAATTTTTAAAATTCTTAGCTATTATGACTGGAGTAAGATGGAATCCCAGAATTGTTTTCATTTGCATTTCTCAAATGGCTAAATAAGTTGAACATTTAAAAATGTCCTTCTTGGCCATTTATATTGCTTTGAGGAGTATTTCATTTCATAGGCTCATTGCTTTCACTGGGTAATTTGGGGTTTTGGGAATCTGATTTTTAAAAAGTCTTTATGTATTCTAAATATTAGTCTTCTATCAGAAAAATAGCTGGCAATTTTTCCCTTTCTGTGGGTTTTCTCTTCACACTTGTTTGTCTTCTTTGCTGTGCAGGACCTTTTCTAATTCAGTGTAATACTATTTGTTGCTTCTTGGCATTATTCTTTGAAGTATTGGAGTTGTGTTCAGAAATTCTTCGCTCATGCCTTTGGAAGTGTTTTTGCTATCTTCCAGCAGTTTCAGCATTTCTGTTTTTACTTCCAGATCTTTGATCAATTTTGATTTGATTTTAGTCCAGGGTAAGAGATATGGGTCTAGTTTCATTCTGCATGTAGAAAATCAGCTTTTCCAACACCATTTGTTAAAGAGGTTCCCTTTTAGTCAGTGTACATTATTGCCTCCCTTTTTAAAGATAAGATGGCTAGAAGTGTATAGGGTTATTTTTGTGTCTTCTATTCTATTCTTTTGGGCTGCATGTGTATTTTTATGACAGTACCATGTTGTTTTTGTTACTATAGCTTTGTAATACGTAAGTTGACATTCAGAACTGTGATGCTTTCTACTTTGCTCATTTTGCTCGGGATTGCTTTGGCTAATCGGGATCACTTTGGGTTCCATACAAATTTTAAGATTGTTTTTTCTAGTTCTTCACAGAGTGCTGTTGGTAGTTTGATAATAATTACATTAAATTAACTTGTTGCTTTTGAAAATATGGCTATTTTGAAAATATTGATTTTGCTTATCCAGTAACAGGCATGCCTCTCTGCTTTTTAATGTATTTTTAATCTTTCTTCAGAGTGTTATCATTTCCTTATAGAAGTCTGTAACCTCCTTGGTTAGGTTGATTCATAAATATTCAATTTTTCTGAAGCTAATGTGAATAGATTGTTTTCCTGATTTCTTGCTCAGTTTGTTCATTATTGGTGTGCAGAAACACCCTTGATTTTTGTGTCTTGATTTTATATCCTACCACTTTGGTAAGTTTGTTTTCTAGCTCTAAGGGTTTTCTGTGGGATTTTTGAGTCTTTGATGAGAAGTAAATAAAGACAGTGTCACTTCAGCAGCATTCTTTGTTGCCTGCTGTTCCAGAGTTCTTGTATCCCTTTGGAGGTGCCCTGTTGCCTTGAGTTTTCATACTTCTTGGTCCCCACTTTGATCCATGCACATCTAGCAGTTGAGTTATCTCTACCACTTTTATGAGGTAGCTTTCATAGTGAAAGTCTTTCTCCTGGAGATGTCTGAGGTGTTGGTTGGGAAGTTTGCATTGGCTTTGGTTCTAGATGGGCACTAAATTATAGTCTTCCCATAGCTTCTCCAGCTATAATCAATGTGTTTGGGTGGCATGGTGGCAGCAGGGACAGAAAGCATTTACCATATTCCACCAGGCTCTGTGAAGGTGCACAGGCTGATACCCATAGTGGGAAGTTGGGGGCAATGGAGCGAGACAGGTCCCAGGTCCCAGATGGCAAGCACTTCTGTTTCTCAGGTCTCAGGGGTGGCACTCCCAAGCCATACTCAGCCACCTCTGTAGTGCCCAGTACTGTGTGGGATTGTGTCTGAGATCAGAGCTTCAATCTGGTTCTTGTTGCATTTGTGAATCTGTAGCACTTTGTGTTAATGTAGTAGCATGTCCACAGGGCCTGAGAGGTGGAAGATGCGAAGGCTTCTGACTCCTGCGGCAGTATGAATTCCAACAATGTTCCTCTTCTCACGATGGCACTGTCTGGCTCTAGGGGTGCAGAGAGACAATATGAGTTTGTCTTCTGAAACAAAGTTTCCTCACCTGTTCTAGGTAGCTCTCCTAACTGGGTTCTAAGCCTGCTGTAACTCTGGAACACTTCTGTGGCTAAGATTATCAGTGACTGCAAAAATGGAATCTGCTGGAACTTTGCCCTTAACTTTTACCCAGCAATGAGGAAATCTTTCCCTTCATCTCCCCCTCATTGAGAAGCTCTGGTCATAGTTCCTCTTTCTCTTTGCTGCTATCCCAGGTCTCATGTGTTACAGAGTTCTCATTTCTTTCTTGCTGAGGACCAGTGAACTGCTTTAACCACTCAACTCAAAGTGCACTTACTCATTTATTATTTCCATCCTTTCTTGTGGAGGGGAGGTGAGTGCTAGGCACCTCTATTTGACCAACTTGGAATTTATTCTATATAAAATTTAAAGGAACAACTGGGGTGTGGGAAAAGAGAAGGGAAAGAAGAGGAAATTATGTAAGTATATATATACAGGATAGCTAACATAGTTGCACTACTGTCTTCTATTGCTCTATATACAGAAAGGAACAGTTAATGATTACTTGTTTGATTAATCTTGTATGTCCCTATTTGTTTTCCTGAGAAACTACTTTGAAGACATCAATAATTAATACACCAACAACTGTTAATTTCCTACAACTTTGTCTGTAACTCTGTTTTGTTTGCATTGTTCTTATCCTATTTTGTAAATGGATGTCTGTTTCTTAGTATGCTTTCCTTCTTTTATTTTTTAAAATAAATTTTAAAAATTTTTAAATTTACTACCTTTGTCTGCACACTGGAAATTGTACTAGATACTTCTCATATTATTTCATTCTGCATATCATTCATGTGACGTGTATAGAAAAAATGAAAGTTCTGAAAAGACAAATAACTTGTCCAAGCTCGTATATTATATGATATACTGTGAAGGAATTCACACAGATAGTAAACAACTTGATTTATATTTTAGAAGATCTCTCTGGCTACCTTCCCAGTGGCTCCCCACTGGAGTACAAGCCACCCTTAACCTGGCTCGAGGCTCTACCTATGACCTTACCTCATATATCTGCCTCCCTTGCTTACTGCTGTGCAGTGCCCCTGGCTTTCTGCTCCTTCTTATACAAGCCTTTGAACTTTTCTAACTGCTGTTCCCATTGCTTAAGTGCCCTTCCTGAAGGGATTGGGGAATGATGATAAGAAACCGAATATTGTGCCTCATGCTGCTCTGGTTTATTTTTCTGCTATTGGAAAATGTATTTATTAATTTGTCTGCATGTTTCTATTGTGTATCTCCTTGCTCCTTTTTGGCTCCTTATAGCAGGGAGCTTGATTTGCTTCCTTTACTTCTGTGACGCTAATGCCTAGAACAGGTCCTCAATGCACATATATTAAAAAACAGAAAAGATCACCATATGAACCCAAGTTGACATGATTCCAAAGCCCGTGTCTGTCTCAGCATTCCTGTGTATTATTTCTCCACATTCACCACCTAAGGATGTTGGCTGAAGCTTCCGTTCACTAAGCCTCATCCACTCAGACCTGCAGCTGCCTAAGATGATACTTGGTTTTTAATTTGCAAAAAGGACCCTTGAGGACTGGCGAAGGCCATGGGTTTCTCTGTGAGGTTATCTCCTGAGAACGATGCAGCTTAGTCAGACCACCATTTAAGTGATAGAAATGTTTATTAAAGTCAACCGTGCCATCCGATAAATGCAGAAGCCATCACTGTGCTACAGGTAATGATCGAAATTTAAATATATGTTTATTAAAATTAAGTGAAAGATTTAGGGTTACCACCCATTTTACTATGCATATTTGAGTGATCAACTGCTACATGTGGCTGCTGGTTATCACATTGGATGATGTCCACATAGAACATTTTCATCATTATAGAAAATTCTGTTGAGTAGCGTATTTTAAGGTGCTAACAGTGGAGATTTACATGGAAAATACAAAATTTTATTTTTCTCAACAGTGGAATGAATAGGCTAGCCTAAACCTCAGTGGGTTTTTTTTTGTGGTTCAAACAAGATCTGACTGTAATAATTGTTAAATATAAATCCTATTGCCTGAATGATAGTGAATGTTCTCCTTGCTAACTTCAGGTTTGCCGCTACTCTTAGATGGCCAGGATTGTCCATTACTGAAGCCCAGGTAGCAAGACTAGCACCTACCTTAGTAGAACTGTTACCTACTTTCATGGCAAATTAGATATTCTCTATTCTTTATCTTTTTGTCCAAGATTATTTTCCTGATATTATCCTATTAAGTTTAGGTTCATGTTAAATTTTAGCAGTTTTATTAACTTCATCTGAAAAGAATGTCACCTCCAAGTGTTTTAATGTTAATGTTCATGGTGTTGATGTCTTTTTAAATGTATGTGCCCTACAGTCTCAGAGTGCCCTGACCCATGCCCTGCAGTCGGCCAAGCACGACTTGGACCTTCTACGAGAGCAGTACGAGGAGGAACAAGAAGTCAAGGCTGAGCTACACCGGGCCCTCTCCAAAGGCAGCGCTGAAATGGTGCAGCTGAGAATGAAGTATGAACAGGAAGCAATCCAGAGAACTGAAGACTTGGAGGAGGCCAAGTGAGTAGTACAAGGCTACCTTTACCTTTAACCTGGCGTTGCTCACATATACGAGTATACATTTAATAAATCCTGTAAGGTGCAACAATAAGTTCAACAGCAAAGCCTAAGCAATCACGGCCTGCCAAAAGCACATACTCTAGAGCGTGTGAAAATACTAAAGTGGCAGAGACCATCACGAGGTCCTCTAGAAAGAAAGGTGCTTTTTCTAAGCGTACAAGCAAAGAGTTCATGAAAGATAAGACTTTGAAAACCTGGCTGTTACTTAACATCCTGCATTTCATCTGATAGACCAGAATGATTGAGCTCATGCATATACATTGTATCCGTACATAGAAGTCATTATATCTCCAGTGTGTGACTTCCAAGGGGTAGGCGGAGATGGGCGGGCACCAACTGCTGGAAACATGTTAGGATCTGTCGTCTTGCCTCCTGGGACAAAAACCAAATTGAGAAGAAATCAGAAATCATCCCCCAGGGCACCCTTACAGTTAGTGCCATCAATTTTATTGCCAGTTCTACTAAAAGGTTTTAAAGTTCATTTCAGGAGCTGTTGGAGTCTGGGGCTCAGCGGAACCAAGGCTCATTAGCACAGTGTACTCAAGTGTTTGACTTCGAGACTGAAAATGCTTCAGTATCTTACAGAGAAAGCTAACCCTACTTTATAACTGTTAGTTTTACTGAAAAGAATAAGTCCCTGGGTTGGTAGCTTGGCAGAGATTCAGTGTGGTTGAATACATTTCTCTTTACCTTTAGCTAGAGATGATGTTTTCTTTCCAGTTCTTCACCTAAATCTTTGAGTGACGTTGTTACGTAGCTGCAAAGCGGCTCTGGGTTCTAGTCCAGCAGCAGTACCAAGTGATCCATCTCTGTATCCACAGTAACTTAAGAAGGGCTTGGGAATGACAGGTACTAAAATTATCTAAAGTATGTGTTTAACAAAATCTCCAGAGCCCCTCAAAGTGGACCTTTGAACTAAAATATCTCTTGTCATATCCAAATCTGTCATTTACTTCTAAACAAGTATTTCTTTTCCTTCAAATGATTGAAGAATTTTGACGAAATGGCTACCTGTCTTTTTATTTCATGGTTTTCTTGGTGGGTGGAAAAGAAGGAAAGAACATGAACTGATGAAAGACCACGTGGATTTTTCGTAATTAGTGCTGTGGTATGTGACAGCTAAAGAAAAGCACTGGACGAACATGGTGCTATCTGAAGACCACTTTTGCTTTAACATTATTTGAACATCAAAGAAATAAAGCTGTGCCAGTGTCATATTTTTCTTCTAAGGCACCTCAGGGAAGTAGGCAGCTTAGAAAAACTCTAGGGTCAGGTGTTGGCCAAAGGGAAAGTTGAAGAATAGCCTGCTTCGAGCTCCAGCCAGAGATTTCATGCTGAATAAGTTTAGCAGAGCCCAGCTCACCAGAGACCCACTTAGACTTCCAAATTCTAAATTCTTTATGAAGAAAACTTGGCTTTCTGAATCAAACAGCCCTTTGCAGAGTCTTGACAATGAAGTAGGTGCTTGTAGCTGGCAAGTTAAGGCGTAAAATAGTAGCTGGTATAACGTGTGGAATAAATTTGTCAGTAAAGTGAAAGTGGACACTTTGTCCAGATTGCCTCGGAATTTCCTGGTGTTTGCCTTGAAAACCTCAAGTTCTACTGAAAGCCCTCAGTCCTGGGCAGCCCAGCGTGGTTGGTTATTCAAAGTAGCTTAGTCACTTCCTCATTGTTGTGACAGAATACCTACCGCTGACAGTTTCAAGAAGGAGAGGTTTATTTTGGCTCATGGCTTCAGTATCTGGGCAGGGGGCTCCAAGGCAGGAACAGGGTGGGAGAGGGGGATGGTGACAGCAAAGGCAGCCAACTCACGGCATCCAGGAAACAGAGAGAGGGGAGGAGCTGGGGACAAGAATGTACCCAGTGACTCACCTCCAACCGGGCCCACCCCCTGCAGCACACTGAGCTGCTGAAATCCTCAGTGGATGAAGCCACTACCAAGCCTAGCACCCCCATGACCCACCACATCCTGCACACATGAGAATTTGGGGGGACTTTTCAGATCTAAACCATAACGTGTTGTTTTATTCTTATTTTATGAGACTCCCACTGTTTTAGGTTGGGTTAAGCATCAGAATCTCCTCTTAAGAAGAATGAAGCAAAGAAATGAACTGACATGGTTAGAAAGCCAGTGATCAAGGGATTGTTGTTAGAACCCAAAACCTTCCCGAATATTGAGCACAGATTGGTTAGTGCAGGATTCTACCCAAAGGGAGCCTCATTGCCTTCCACATTACTCTGCTGGGATACTTGTACAGTGCATGTTAATTCTTGACATTCTTCTCTAGATTTCTAGTATGGCAGAAAATCTTTCCTATGTATAATTCCTTTCATTAAAGAAGCAATCCAAGATTAAGAATGGTACAGCTAACAATTCTGCAGGAGATGTAAGCAAAGAACCCATTTCATTCACTAGAATTCTTCAGAGTGCTGTCTCAGGAGGGAGGTAGAGGAAGCCTTGCATAACCCACTCTCCAGCGAGGGTTCTGGAAGAGCAGAAGGCCCAGGCCTCCCTGAGAGTGATGGGATGTGTAAAGTGGGCACCATGGCAGGATGGATGTAAATGTGAGGAGCTAAGCTGATATGGAGAAGACAGAGAAATTTGTGTCACGTTTATAAACCACATGAAGAGAAGCTGAGAGCATGAACACACAAGGGGGGCACAAGGAAATGTTCCTTGGAAGCAACATAGCCAAGGAGGTGTTTGGAGACTAACGATGCTGAAGGAGTTAATAGCTTGCTGTAGGTGGGAAGTTTAGAACAGTGGCTACCATTTTGGATGAAATTGACATGTATTGCTTATTAAATCTTTAGGATAAACAAATTTTTATAGGAATTTGCAGATATGCTCAGTTGCACGTCCAGGTTAGCAAAGTAAAATCCATATGTGCACAGAAGCTGGAGCTGGAGGTGAGCAGAGGCCGGTTTCTGGAGTGCAGGGAGCTCCTGGAGCTGTTAAGTCAACGGCAGAGGCCATCTTGCTTGTATCTAAGCGCCCTCATTGACCCTGGGCAGCCTTGATGAGCTCTCAGAGGGACGCTGCTTCACCCTCCCTTTGGGTCTCCCTTTCTCAGGAAGAAGCTGGCCGTCCGGTTGCAGGAGGCTGCCGAAGCCACGCAGGTGGCCAACGCCAGGAGCGCCTCCCTGGAGAGGGCCAGGCACCAGCTGCAGCTGGAGCTTGGGGACGCCCTGTCTGACCTCGGGAAGGCCCGCTCTGCGGCGGCTGCCCTGGACCAGAAGCTGCGGCACTCTGACGAGGCCCTGGCCCAGTGGAGGCGGAAGCACGAGGAGGCCCAGGCCCTGCTGGATGCCTCTCAGAAGGAGGCCCGGGCCCTCAGCGCTGAGGTCCTCGAGCTGAGGCGCGGCTGTGAGGAGAGCGCCGAGGGCCGGGAGACGCTGAGGAGGGAGAACGACAGTCTCAGAGGTACTCAGCTGGGCTCTCAGCCCAAGCAGGAGCCGGGGCCTGCAAAGAGCCCTGGCTCTGTGAGCAGGAAACCTTGGCATTGTTATGTTTCCATCCAGGTTTTAACTTGTCAAGTTTTAGTGCTTTGCTTTCACTGTTTTCTTGCTAGAGGTATTATTTGTATTAAATTAGTTCTAGAAGTAATTCTAGTTTTATACCTTTAGATATGAAAAGCCACTTTTAAGGATTTCTTGATATTAAAAGCCTTACCGATTTTTCCATGTACTATATATATTCATGTGTGTCTTTTACCCAAAGGATACATTATTTTATACCTGTTATCTTTCATTTATCAATATACTTTATAATTTAACAAATATTTCTGTAGCCCATGCTTTTTTTTTTTTTTTTTTTGAGACAGGGTCTCGCTATGCAGTTCCGGCTGGCCTTGAACTCACTTTGTAGCCCAGGCTGGCCTTGAACTCCCAACAATCCTCCTGCCTCAGCCTCTGGAGTGCTGAGATTACAGGTGTGCGCCACCATGCCCCCCGGCTATCCTGGGCATTATGATATATACAACTATTTATTATTTAACCCAGAGGAGTCTTAGTGTTAGTTTTATCTGTAAAATGGAGATTCTACCGGACCACATAAGATTAAGTGCTTTGTCTGAACTTTCATTTGATAAGTAGCAGATCTGTGATCTGATCCTAGATGTCTTGACTCCCGTACACATTCAAGTACTGGACTATGCTACTTGCTATGTTCCTTGTGGATTTTTGCATGCCTATCCATGGAGTATTGCCTCATACTTAAAAAAAAAAGCTATATTTTATTTCATAAGAAGGATGACCAATACTTATTTAAGTCTCATTCATTTTAGTCCTGATTATTCAGTACTAATCCTATGCTATACATTCATATGCGTATATTTGTGCACATGTAAAAGTAATCCTAGAAATGAAATTGCTGAGTTACAGTAGTAAATTTAAAAATTTTGACACATTGCCAAACAGCCCTCCAAAGAGGGTAAGTTATCCCAGCACCAAAAGTGGTATACATGAAGGCCCAGAGATGCCCTAGAAGCATGATTATTGGAGGTATGAATTAAACTTGCTTCCTCTGTTGACTTACATAATCCATGACTTAGTCAATCCATGATTGGAAAGTTAATGGGGCTAGAAGAGTGGGTTGGAAACTTTACCTGTGTTCACATCACCCAAAGGTCCTGGAGTCTATCCAGAGTTTATAATTCAGTAGGTCTGGGCTGAGGCCTCTGAATTTGCATTGCTAATAGTTTCCCAAGCAAAGTCTAGGCTGCTGTTCTGGACACCCTACTTGGTCTGGGTTGGAGCTTGGACATTGAGCTTTTTTTAAAAAAAAAAACACTCTGCAGGTGATTCTAAACTGTAGGAATGTATGTTGTATATTGCAGTCAGAGTTGAGGAAAACTAGAGGTTTCTAGGAGGCAGCTCTCTTTGGAGAGGGTCTGTCAGAGAAGGATCGTTATTTGCGTGAGAATTCTCAAATGATGTGTTTGTATAAGTTTTTGAAGTTCTTAAACAATTACAGCCTAGGATCTCAGAACCAGAGAAGCAGGTGAGCTCTTGAGTTCTTCTGCTGCCTCTAGACTGAATTCTATGGCTCTCCACCCCCACCCCAGCCCCGCCCTAGGTACCAGAGGCTCCTTTCATAACCAGCAGTCATCAAGACAATGTCAGGTTGTAGAGGTTTTCCTGACTGCTGGATGTGCTGCTCTTTCAAAGGCTTATACTCATGGGAGAGGAGCCCAAACCATCACGTTGTATGCTAAAACTACTGTCTTCTGCTTCTCTAGGGTCATGTCTTTGCTCCTGACAGAGAGTAACCTAGCTCATTCTTTAAGTTTCTGTCCCAGTGTTGTGTGTGGCTGAGATCAGAGCAGTTCCTGATGTTGAAACCTAAGCCCTTGCACTAGAAGTGGAGGAATTCCTGATTGTGTCTGAGAACATGTCCAGGTAGAGTCTGTTGGATAAGCAGAATCACTATGGAAAGGTACACTGACTGTCCAATGTACACAGACTGTCCCATGTACACAGACTGTCCCATGTACCAGACTCTAAGAAGCACCATCTTCACCAACTGGGATAGTTGTCTGGTAGCTAGCCAAAGAATATGTGGAAGAGCAGATACCTTTTTCTAGTTCTAACAGATGTCCCAGAGGGCTAGTGGTGGCCCTACTCTACCAAGGGCTGTGTGAATACAGTTCCAGTGGGTGTCTAGGCACAATATGATGTGCTTGGTATCATAGGTCTAAGACAGATTCTTTCACTAACTTTACTGTTCTTTATTTTTCCAGAGCAGATTTCTAGTCTGACAGACAAAGTTAGAGAAGGGACCAGGAACTTAACTGAAATGGAAAGGGTTAAGAAACTGGTTGAACAAGAGAAAACTAAAGCCCAGCTGACACTGGAAGAAACAGAGGTATGGCCCTGAGGGATGAAAGAAGGTTTCCATCATCGGGACAGAGGGAAGATTTGCCTTGTAGCAATGTCAAAAGCAACCACAGCATCACATTTAAGTGATGTCTACATGTTAGGGACCATGTCAAATGCTTGATATGTATTATTTTATGTAATCATCCCAGGAAACTAAGGTCCCTATTTTACAAAAGAAGAAATTGAAACTCGGAAAGCAGAATAAGCCCTAGTGCACACAAATGTTCAGAATGTGCCAACAACAGAGACCATGACTGCTCATCTCTAGTACCTAGACCCTCAGGACTCAAAATATGTGCATGGACCAGCTGTGTGGACATCACTCAGGACCTTGTTAGAAACTCAAACTCTCAACCTTCTCCCTAGCTCCGCTGAATCAGAGCCTGCATTTTAACAGGATCGATTTTCTGTTCCTATACGTTCTAACATTGGAGCAGCACAGACCTCGGACATGGCTGCTCTGTTGGAGTGGTCGTCCTGTTACCAATTCAGACAGTGAGGGTCACTTGAGATTTGGTCCGCCCACGGAAGACACAGAATGGGGGACCGGGTTAGACATCCGTGTTCTCTGCTGCTCAGCTCCACTCACCTTATCTGCCCATCCGCCCAGGCAGCCCTGGGTGTCCAGCTGCCGCATACATTCCCTGAGCCCCGCAGCCAGCTAGCCAGCCTGCCAGCCCTCACAGCAGTCTGGATTTATACAAAAATTCACAGTCATGGCTGTGCACCAGTGTTGACCTTGGTCACATGAGTTATTTACTTTGAGACCACTCGATGGGCGTGTGTTGGAATTCCACTGAGTCTGGACTTACGGGGTCCTGGAAATCACCATCTAACACACACATGCACACACACAGCCTGAGCCATAGTGTAGCCAAGTGGGGCTTCATTTTTCCCTGTGGGGGTTCAGTAAATATTTGTCCAAGGTTGAAAGAATGATTATTCTCACATCTTCTCCCTCTTGGGACAGAACCCATCAAAAACACCCCTCCCCAAAGAAAATTCTGTGTGATGCTCTCAGACATTTGTTTCTGAATGCTCATCTTGCACGTAGATTATTTGGCTGGAGTATTTTTGGGGTTATGGATTCAAAGTTTAGGAAAGGTCTCTGACTGTACCCCTGGGTGGGGTCAAGCAATAGCAAAGACCAGTAAGAAGACCTTAACCCAAACTAGATAGTGAACTGTAAAGACAGGTACTTTGTCTTGGCCATTAGATGATTTAGAAGCCATGCAGACCTCCTTTATCTCAGCTGAAGTTCATCTTTTTGACTCAAGTTTTGAATAAGCATCCGGACATGTTAAAATACAGTCCTAATCTACGAACACACCGATAGAGACACTGACTACTGAAATGGAATGGTAGATAGTTGTAGGCAAGGGCCTTTTGGAAGGTACAGTGATAAAAACTACCACTCACTGATTGCACTCTATAAGCATTGTCTGTTAGAGTCACATCACCATTGCAACTCTTAGGAAACCTGCAAGGCAAGAGATGCAGCCATATTAACTTGTGTGCAGCACTTTCAAGTCTTGATATAGCTCTTGACACAGATCCTGCTCTTTTACACATAAATGATACCGGAGGTCATCCACACTTTATATGGAATCTCTTTAGTAGCAGTGTAGCGTCTCCTACAAGACTGTTTCTTGTACATTTGCTGAACTTTATAGACACTCTTCATTTAATGACTGAGTTCTGTTCTTGAGACTAGGTCGTTAAATGAATTGGTCACTCAATGAGGAGTTGCCTATAGTGTGTGCATTACAATATTCAGAACAAAGACATGGTCAAAGGAAACTCCAACTTGATGACCTTGCTTTTATTTGCATAACTCTAACATGTAGTACTGTTGTGTATAACAAACATAAAACTACTATGCCATACGATTCAGTACAGTAAGTCCCCAACTTAGGAGCATTTGAGTTGCAAACTTCCCCAGGTGTCCTGTGTAAGATTCACTTTGTTGCGTATGAATGAATCCAGAACATTTTCCCGCAATGGAACTCGTTCATAAATCAGGGACTTACTGTACATTACTCAGTCATCACGTCAAAGTTGAGAACATTGAGGCCACAGCACCCGTATCATTGAACACCACTAGATGGCAATATATCCTATTGACCTTTTCTCAAATTGTATCCCCAGGCACACCATAAACACTTCATCGGCTTGGATATGTATTGTAACTTTGGTTCTTATCCTCAGTGAGGCTTTGTGAGAAATTTTCTCAGTTTTTTAAAAGCCATAGAATTCAAGTTATCCCAGGTGACTTTCTCTAAAGACTTACTTTCTCAGTGCACTCTGGAAAGCTAGTGGTCAGAGTTTCTCCCTGCATCATTCCCTGTGAGGAAATTGCTATCCATCATTGTTTCCGGTTAATTTTGTTTTTATATTTCAGGTAGTGTTGAGAGACTGGCAAAGGAGACCATACTAAATTTTCAACATATTAAACTTTTCAACATACTTCTTCTTTTTATCTAAAATTACTAGTCAGTTGATTTCACCCATGGTGGTATTTGTTAATCACTCTTCAGAGAAGATTATAAGCAATTACCTCTGCTCTCAGAACTGTCCAGAGTTCACTGACAGATACATTTCATCACCCTTACGCACTGTATCATCAGTATACACCAAATGTTTTTTTTTTCAATATTTCTTTTTCTTTTACATGCATTTTTGGAATAGATTTTTAAAATTGCATCAAACTTCTACTTTTAAAATTGATTCACATTTACAATATCTCTGGCAATAATTCCCTAGGTTAGTCTTAAATACTTAGAGACTGGGAGAGCTCCCTACCTGTCGGAACTATCCATTTGTAGGAATAGAGCTAACTGACCCTTCAATGCCTAGTGATCCAATCTGGGGACATCCACAACAGGGGAACATAATGAAATGTGCCCTCTTCAAATTCTTGTTCCTTAAATTTTTTGAGGTAACGTGTATGAGCTTCATGCAAAAATTCAAAAAAGTTCAATCTTTGTCACCATTGGTGATAATGGCTTTCATTTATTGTGGTGTCAAGCATATCCTAAGCTTTTTGTTCATTTTTCATAGGAAAATATCAGACACCTTTCTATTGCTTACTGGCTAAGTGCATTCAATTTTTTTCTTCTAGCCCTCTGGGATACCCAGAATCAAATAAAGACTCCCAATAGCAGTTATTACTTTATTTATTCTGCCTTTGATACTTTATTGGGTCACTCCGAAGATGGAATAGATGATAAGCATCAAAAGTGGTAACTGTGAAAGTTTAAATATAGGCAGAGAAGTTTGAAATTTTATATTTTAAAAAATGTTTTAATTGGGCTGGTGATTTGCATCAGTGGTAGAGCACTTGCCTAACAAATATGAGATCTTGGGTTCTATCCTTAGTGCTAAAAAAAAAAAAAATCAGTAAAAATACTAGGCTAAAAATGTCTTGGAATTCTAGTTCTTGAGCTATAGCTAAAGACCTAAGAATGTCAGAAACCACAAATGATCAGCCACTCATCTTCCATTCTGCTCCAATCTTTATGGAACTGACTTGAACCTAGATATCTCCCAGCAACCCTAAAAAGAGTTACATCAGTGACATATTTTGAGAGAAAAAAATCCAAAACTTTTATCCAAAGGTGAATTTCATTGAATATTTGTTTAATAAACTAATTTGTTTAGGGAGCTCTGGAACGGAATGAAAGCAAGATTCTTCGCATCCAGCTCGAACTCACAGAAGCTAGAACCGAGCTTGAAAGAAAGCTTTCAGAGAAAGAGGAAGAAATGGAGAATTTTAGGTATTTAAAATTATTCTCATGAGCAGCAATTACTTTTTTTCAAAATCCTTGAATGATCAGAGCTCTTTGGGTTTAGTGGCTTTCATGACGCTTGGTGGACCATTACCAAAAAAATTTAATCTAACTCTATACTAGATTTTCTATGAAGTTCACCTGTGTTAATATAAAGTAATACACATAATTACCACCAGTTTTTATGATTTTCTTACACTCAAGCAGCTTCTACTGTCATATAAAACATGCACACAATAAATAAGTGTTTAATGTTTGTGTATAATGTCTGGATCTCGTCACAACTGTCAGGTGATCTTCCACTGTCTTTCCTTTCTATACCATCTACTCCTCTGAAATCAGTCACTTCATATTTTGCCATATAATCTCAGTTTATACGCACCCTCTTAATTTTTATCATCTGACTGAATTTCTGCCCCAAGATTACATTTAAATCTCATGATGTTTAGGTAAAATATTTTTGTGTGTCTTTGGAGAGTGTGGCCTCAAACTCAGATATGGTATTCAGCTCTCAAAAATACCTTGCTCATCATTTGGAAAAGGTGACTTGCATGTATTAAGGAAAACTTCATATGTCTGTGAGATAAGTGATATCGAAAGAGGAAAAAAAATGGCCTATTGTTGATTTTAAATGATTAGCTTTTTCAAAGTTTTATGTTTGTGTCCTGATTTTTAAAATTGGACTTCTTTTCTCAATTTGTATGTTTCATTTAGAAAAAATACAAAAGAAACTCCTTACTATGTTACCCTTAGTCATAAGTGTTTAATTTTTCTTTGAAAAAAATGTATTTTGGGGGGGTTTCAATTTTGGCATTTTTTTGGACTAAGGGTAGAATGTATTGATTATTTAATCGTCATTCTCCAGGCCCACATTCTCCATTCCTTTTAAGTCTCGGTGTCCTAAGCCGCACTGTGTTGTCTGCAGATACTCCTGACATGTCATAGACCACGTGGTAAAGCTAGCATTTGAAACATTCGGTCTGTCTATTGTGGTAGACTTTATTTCTGTACAGAAGATCTTGCCACCAGCCAAGGATGGTCTAGTTTTGTACAGTGAGCGTTGACCTTGGAAAAAGTGACACAGGAAGGCAGAGAAATATCTTAAAAGTTTTAGTGGTGATGCGTATAAGTGTCCCTAAATTTGTTTGCTTGGGCTGCTGTCACAAAACTCACAGACTGACTGGCTACACAGCAAAAGTTAATTTTCTCTCGGTTCTGGAGTCTGTAAATATGAGATCAAGGTGTTGGCAGATTTGATTTACCCTGAGGCCTCTGTCCTTGGTTTGCAGACAGATGGTCTCCTTCTTACTCTGTCCCTGTAGGGTCCTCCCTCTGTGTACCTATCCCTGATGTATCTTCCTCTCCTTGTGAGGACACCGGTCCTGTTTGATTAGATCTGCATCATAGTGGCCTAACATTTATTTTAATTACCTTATGAAAGTCTCTGTCTGTAAATCCAGTCGTACTCTGGGATACTCAGGTCTGACAAATGACACGTGAGGGAAAACAGTTCATCACATAACTATTCCTATTAACATTACCTGCTTGCAAGCCTTCTGATCTGGAAGCAGAACAAAAGTCCAGCACCTAAGGATAGGTAGGCACAGAAGGTCAACCTCAGCTTGTAGGGTCAGGAGAAACAGGGCTGCAGAGGAGCAGTGGAAACCCTGAGCTATGAGGTCAGAAAGAGTAACACCTGTGAATTTCTCAACTGCTTCTGAGGACCTGCTGTAAGAGAGAGAAGCTCATATTGCATGTGAATCTGCTTGCAGGCTCCACCCACATCCTTCTCCCTGCAGAAGGCCTGTCTTCCTAATCCATTTCTGAAGTCAGGACACAGGCTGTGTGACAGTTCAGTATAGAATCCATTTCTGACCCAAGACAAATATATTTTTGCTGTTTGTTCTGAAATGTGCTATGAGAAGGGATAGAGGGTCCTTTTGTCCTCTTATCTACTTACCTGTCCAGAGCCTTGCTTCACGGGATGAGCTTAGCAGTGCACATGTTAATGACAGCAATAAACTGTCCTGATGAACAAGCACCAAATCTTGGTGGTTTAAAATGATAAAAGTTTAATTTTGCCCAAGTTGGAGTTCAATGTGAGGTAGGAAATACAGTTCTCTACTCTTCCTAGCAACTCAAGAAGCCAGTTTCCTTCGATCCCATGAGGCCGTAGATGGGGACGAGAGAGTGCAGGCTCACACAAGTGTAAGCATTTGTGTGGGCAGGCTGTAAATGGCAGACTTTGCTCTAGCCCCGTCAGCCACATGGTCCCCAACTATTTGCAGGAGGACTGGGAATTTAAACTGGTCATGGATCCCCTCAATATTTTCATTGCCCTCCTAAACACATAGCTATTTTCTCAGCTTTAATCACTTTGCAGATACGGTTTTTGGTTTTACGAAGGAATATCAAAGTCATTCAAAATTACATTGCTACTGGTTTTCTCAGCCAGTTCATGTTCGCTCAAACTCCCAGACAGAAATAAACCTGTTCAAGTAGTTAATGTCTGTGGCTGTTAGAGCAGTGTTGCTGTATCTTTGGACTTTTCTAATCTCAGTCGCTCCCTTCTGCCCAGTTAAGAGATTTCTCACCATTGAAAGTAGTTAAAATACGGCCATCTAGAAAAGCATATGTCCTCGGCAGTAACCACTCTTGGAAATGTGGGGGTTTACTTTCGATCATCCTTTAGAGGATCTCAGATAAGGCTACCACTGGCTCATAGGAACACTGAAAATAGTCTAGAGCTGCCTGATTCTTTATAGAGGTTGGTAAACCATCCTTCATCTGTTATGATCAACACAGACTCATTAGCCGCACCTCTCACTATATTTATAAAATGAGAACCTTTTAGCTCTATTTTTAATTACCTCAACTTTTGCTTTTTGACATTTTCTAAACTGTTGTGAACACAGCGAGTACATTTTCTTAATTTGGGGATGTGATGTTTTCCACCTAAATATTAATTATTCTGAACTTAGGAGGAAGCAGCAGTGTGCTATTGATGCTCTGCAGTCCAGTCTGGATTCTGAAGCTAGGAGCCGAATTGAGGCTACCCAGCTAAAGAAGAAGATGGAAGGGGGCCTCAGGGACGCGGAACTCCAGCTTTGTTCTGCTCACCGCCAGGCATCTGAGGCAACCAAAGCCCTGGGCCAGCTTCAGAGTGAAGTGAAGGTATTTTCAGTGTGTAATATGGGGTTGGGGTTGAAAGACTTCTGCTTACAGAAGCAAACTAAGTAACAGACTGTACTGAGCAATAAAGATAAGGACAACAGATCTCATCCATCAAGACTGGGAGCAGGCTTCCGTTCAACATGTAGGGAACATGTGGGTAGAGCTGTCTCAGCATGTACACCTGGGTCCCCATCCCATGTTGAACAGAGGGGTCTGTGCTCCAAGTCCACATCTTCTCCCGCAGGACCTTCAGAGGCAGCTGGACGACAGCACGCACCTGAACAGCGACCTGAAGGAGCAGGTGGCTTCGGCTGAGCGACGCACCTCTCTTCTTCAGTCTGAACTAGAGGAACTGAGGTCCATGCAAGAGCAGACGGAGAGTGCGCGCAAGCTGGCGGAAAAAGAGCTCCTGGAAGCCACAGATAAAATCAATCTTTTTCACATCCAGGTGAGATCCATGAACTCTCCTCCAGCGGCATCAGGTGGTCCATGGCAGTGGCCCCACCTCTGGTCAGCCTCAGGCTGGCCCCAGTTGCCACATAAGGCTGGGATGTGACACTAGAGGCATAGGGAGAGCCTCATACTGAGCAGTGTCAGACTCTTTGCTCCTGGGTGTGTTAATGTCCCAGGGCTGCTGTCGCAAAGCAGTGCACACTGGATGACTTCAAAGGCTGGAAGTTTATTCTTGCAGAGTCCTGTTTGAATTTAGGCATCCAAGATCAACGCCGCGCTCTTCTTAAATCCCGTGGGATATTCCTCGTCTTTTAACTTCTGGCGGGTAACCTTTGGCATTCCTTGTTTCTGTCCACGCAGCTCTCCAACCTCTCACCTTCACATGGCGTTCTCTCTGTGTGAGTTCCCCTCATCTCCCGTGTCAAGCTCTGGATGTTCAGATTTCCACTACTCAGAAGGATACCGGCCACTTTGGATTAAAGCTCACCCTCATGACCTCTTTTTAGCTTTATTACCTCTTTCAAGGCTCTGCTTTCAAATAAATCACATTCTGAGAAACTAGGTGTTAGGAGTTCAAGATATCTTTCTCTGGGAGACACAAGTTAACTGTTAACATTAAGCCTTCTGCTAGGAGAGCGAACTGTCAGGGCATTGAAAGCCAGTACACCAGAGAGGGAGAGTTGAGCATACTGTATCCTTGTCTTCCCCAGCCACTCACCTCATTCTCCTGCTCTCTCTAATCCACTTGCTTGCTCAGCCTCCTAGGAATAAATACTTCTTTCCAGGGCCAGGAATCACTAAAAATTCTAAGTAGCTACTGATAAAACGAGCTGCCAGTATAGTACTTTAGCGTCTCATGTAGTCATGTGACATGAGCCACAATTTTTGGATTCCTTACCGTTGTCCTGGAATTAGAAGCTGTAATGACTAGGATAAAGGTCTGTAGTAAATAAGTCGTGCAAAAGGTACCCACCAAAACCTGGATAAGTAAGCCTGTGGAGATACAAAGTGTCTACACTGTCCCCGAACAATGTGCTAAGTAAATAACTGCAGTTGTGTGTGAGTGTGGTGATGGGGAAAGTGCACCCCCACAGGGAGCCTTCTCTGACAGTGCTAGACTTAGCGACCATGGGCGTCATGAACGTGAAAGACCTGGGAGACATCAGCCAGGAAGGGAGAAAATGAGGGAAGAGCCACTGGGGAAGAGGGAATTCACATTTTGGAAAAAGTTCACATATCTAGAGTGCAGAATGGGCAGGAAAGATGAGCAGAAATGATGTTAAGAGGCAGGTGTGGTCAGGTTGCCAAAGACCTGAAATCTGAGTCTGGTGGAGATTGCCTTTGATCTGCAGATAATATGAATATACTCAAAAATGTTGACTAGCAGAGAGTGAAGTTTTTAGGTTTATGTTTTAGAAAGTCTCCATTGGTGATATAAAAGATAGATGGAAGCAGCTATGGACAATCTTCCGTGCTCTGAGGTGTTTAAAAACATCTACTGGTTGCCACAATGGCTGGGAAATGCCAGTGGCTTTTAATGGGCGTGGTTGAGATATACTAAAACTCCTTCAAAAATCCCACATCACAAAGACTTACCCTTCACAGAATGCTGGTTGCACCCTGCTCCCCCAAAAAATGCTACTCTAAAGGATGTGTAAGCTGAAAATGTACCTGCTAAAGGTTCTGCATTTAGTTTGTGCCCATACTTTAACTTTTGTGTCCTTGCACATGGTGTAATCCCATTTGGGTACCATTGGGTGCAGAACAAATAGAATGTAGGCTATACATCCCAGCAGACTGACTGACTTCAACATTTTCTTGGGCTAGGGTATAGCTCAGTACTAGAACTCTTGTCTAGTATGTGCAAGACCTGGGTTGGACTCTAGATCTTAAGGAGAAAAAAAATCATTTACTTTTTTTCTGAAGAAAGCTTATCTCAGTACAAAGTGTTGAATTCTTATAAAGTGGAATATTCAGCTTTTTGAAAAGTAAATCATCCACTGCTTGAAGTCATTAATAACTACTGGTGACAGATTACATGGTATGTATGGTATATTTTAACTCAATGCATCATAGATTACAATGTGAGGAAAAAAATGTAGGGAGAAAGAGAGGGAAGAAGGGAAGAAGGGGGAAGAGAGAGAGGGGGAGGGAGAGAGAGATTGATTGGTTGGTTGATTTTCACCAGAGAAAAAGCTGACATAGAGACAAGAAAATTTTGAGGGGAAAAATGAAAATTAGCCAGGGGAGACCTTGTCTGTAGGGTAGAGTTTCTAAAATTAGAGTAAAAGAGTGAGTAATACAAAAATACTAATTCTCAGATCTCACTATAGACCTACTGAATCAGAGGTACTGCAGTGAAACCCTTTAATCCAGTAAGTTTGTGGGTGCTGTTCTTGCTTGCATTACTCTTTGAACAGCACAGGTCTAGGCAGCGTACTGCTCTCAAGGACCTCATGCTTAGAACAAACATACGAGGCCAAACTTAACTTTGGCTGAAGATTGTGCCTCCTTTTCAAACCTGAACTGTAATAATATAAACTTAGCTTCCTTCCTGCTAAAAATGAATGAATCACAGTCACTCAGTTTGCAAAAAATTTAAGCATTTTTCTCTGGCAGATTTTAAATAATTCCATATGCAAACAAATCAGTGTTCCTGAGTGTGCCTTCCTTTGCAATGAAAGAGTCCTGTGAAGTTACCTGCAACAAGCATCCAGAAAACTCGCCCCCCAAATCATTTACTTCCCCAATGGCATTCTGAGGTGCGTAGAGCCTGGCTCTGCACAGGACCAAAGGCACAATCTTGGTAGTCCCTCATGCCATGGAGGAGGAGGCAGGCAGAACCCATGAGGCTGGAATTCCTGTCTCTATTTCCAAGGCTTAATCCTGCCCCCAAGAAAGTCTGTTGCTAGAGGAAAAAGAAAGGATAGTGTGAAACGATAAAGTAAAAGAAGACATAAAACACAGAAAGACTGTGCCTTTCATACGCATGTACTGTGCTGAGATTTCACACCCTCAGGAAAGTTGATATTCAAGCACAGACTGGGTACAGCAAAGGAGATTTAACCTCTAGTGTCACAACTCAGGGAGGAAGGAATTAGGACAGCACCAACTGCAGGGAAGTGTCCTCCCTTTAATGATGGTTCCTAAAGGCTGGGGATGAAGACTCTTGTGAACTTTTCTCTCGTCCTTACTGCAGGGTAAGATAGGAAAGCAAGCAGATGAATAAAGAGGGGGAATTCTCCTGGGGGAGATACTTGAAAGTGTGATTTTTATCCTGTAAGCCCCAGCTCCCCAGATGACCACAGGGACTCCAACTTCTGCTCTGAGACTATTTCAACATTAAAGAGCATAAAGCAGAAAAACATTCCTTAGCAAGTGCAGACTAAACTCATGTTGGACTTGTAGGTTATCTGGCATGCTTTTTTTTTTTTTTCTTTCTGATTCAGGCTCCCCTCTCTTTAACCCCGAACCTCTAAATGGATGAAATCCCTTCTGTTTAGTTGCTCTTCCTGGGCTTGGAGGTCTTGCTTAATTGAGTATGGCTGACTCTGGTAAAACTTGCCTCTTGGCCAAAGCTGCCTCCTAGACTGTGAGCTAAACAGACCAACTGGCGTTTGGGTTGGTGGTTTCAACTTGCCTAACAGGTATGCTGCTTTTCCTTAGAATACAAGCCTCCTCAGCCAGAAGAAGAAGCTAGAGGCTGATGTTGCTCAGATGCAAAAAGCTGCTGAAGAAATGGTGCAAGCACGTGAAAATGCAGAAGAAAACTCCAAGAAGGCAGCCACTGAGGTGAGTCTATTGATTGCCTGCTCCGTCTGACTTTCCAGAGTTCGCTGGAGCAGTAACCTAGAAGCTGGGCCAACCTGCAGCCCAAAAGGCCCTGATTCCTTGTTCAGTCAGATAGAAGTCAGCTGACCCTTTGCCTCCCTGTTCTCAGCTTAAACACTTGGCCAATTGGCTCTTACCTTCTAAACTCCCTGGAAATGAAAAGGAGCAGCTGAATTGCTATAAGGAAAATCTTGTGAATATGACTTTTTAAGTTTACCAATTTTCCACTTGTGAATCAATAGAAGTTGTATATAAAAATAATTCTGTCAATATATATTTTTTCCCCTAGGGCATATATGGTTTTATGATGATGATTTGCAAAGAGTGTGTGTTAGCATTGTCTAGAGGAGCAGGTTGAATGTAAACTGTACCTATGATTATACAAGGGGTTTATTAGGTAAGTCACAGGGTCTGAAGGGGAAGAGTGCCAGGGGCCATCTACTGGATTAGAGATGGAAGAATCCAAAATGGCTGCCTGCATGCTGGGCAGCTGGAAGATCAAGCGGCAATCAAAGGTTGAAGACCTGGAAGCTCCTTGCAGTCACAGGTGTGAGTTGGTGTCAGAAGGCCAAAGAGTCTGTGTCAGAAAGCTGAAGGGTCTGCACTGGAAGGGTGAAGGAACTGGGGGCCAGCGTCCAAAGGCAATGGTGAAGACCTGAACTCCCCCAAAAAGGGAAGCACTTCCTTCTTCTTTCTCTTTCTATGCTGCCCAAGCAACAAGTTTATTGGTTGATACCATCCACATCTAGGGTGGGTCTTCCCCTCTCAGTTTGCTGGCCTACATGTCAGTCACCCACAGGCACATGGAGAATATACCAATCCCTTACGTAGTTCTTACTCAATTCAAATTGACATATCACAATTAACAGCTGCAGAGTACTTATGTCACTAATGTTTTACACCGTATGCTGCTGCCTAACAAAATCAAGTTGGCAAAGAAGGACTTCAGTGGTAATGGACCTTCTTTCTTTGCAAATTGAAAGTTGTTCTGGTCATGCTTTTCATAAAAGACACTAAACTTAGGAATGATTGCCAGCCATAAGGTACCTTTATGGGAACTAGAAAAGGCCATCCTCTGGGTACTTCTTGTGAACAAATGCGGCATTTCTCTCAAGGGCATAGTAAGCTGATGATACCACTGAGAAGAAACAAACAATGGAAGGAGGACATAGAGGCAACTTGATGTGTGTGTGTCGGGGGGTGAGGATTACAGGTCCTAGAGCTTTATGAGTGGGACTGGGGTTAAATTTCATTCTCTGTTTGCACTCATCAAATGCACAATACATGTAGCAGCCTTGATGACCTCCCATGGGAGCTGGAGAGACAGGACCTTCATTTAAATTTTACATAGACCTTGGTGAATTTCTGCAGTCGCGCTTTATGGGAGACACTATCTGCTTAACCTTAGCTTTATATGATTATCTTGACAATGATGAAAATTGAACTCACAACTTCTTGTTCTCACTGTTCAATTCTCCAACAGTGTTTCTCTAAGTCCCAATTCCAGATAGCAGAGCCCAGAGTTGCCTCTATTTCATTCTTTGTCCTCATACCTGTATGGAAAGGTTGCAGCAATTCTACAGATGGTTACTGTCTTAGTCCATGTTTTGTTATTATAATGAAATATTTGAATATGGGTAACTTTACCAAGAGAAGAGGTTCATTTAACTCACATTTCTAGAGGCTCAGTGACATGGTACTAGCAACAGCTTGGTTTTGGTGAGGAGCTCATGGAAGATGGTGCCACAGTGGCAGGAAGAGATCACACTGCCAGACAGGAAGCCAGGGAGACTGAGTTCTCAAAATCCTGTCTGTGGGCATACCCCAGTTGATTTAAGGACCTCCTCTTAGACCCTACCTCTTAAAGGTCTCACCTTCCAACAATGCCTCATTGAGAACTAAGCTCCCAACACATGAAAGATACACACAAACTGCATAGAAACTATAGCATTTTACACCTGCTCCCCAAAGTCCATGTTCTCTTCACAGTGCGAGATGTACTTTCCATCCACAGCAGTCCCAGTATTACACAAAAGTCCCATTCCAAATTCTCAACTGAGACCTAAGGCAAAGTCTTACAGCTGTAAGCCTTTTGTCTTGGTTACTTTTTTCTCGCTTCTGGGACAAAATACCTGATGCCCAAAATTAAGGAAGGAAAGGTTTATTTCCCTTACAGTTTGTGGAAGTTTCAATCTGTACTTGGCAGATTATAAGGCAGAGTGGCACATGGCAAAGAGCTAGCGCTCAGGGCGGCAGAACACAGCTAAGCAACTACCAGGACACACACATCAGGACGGAATGGCGGAGGAATGTCCTCAAGCACCCTTTTCCTCTCCCTTACATATGCAAACTATCTACCCCAGGGCGGGTGTAGCTCTCATACTCATAATAATCAAACTCTAAAAGCCTGCCCCGTGGTCCCATGAGGCTTTGGAGGGGACACACAGACATAAACCATAACACCTTTGTAAAAGCCAAAATATAGGTTACATCTTCTATGGTATGACAGCAGGACAAGGATAGAATAAACATTCTTAGTCTAGCATGGAAAAATAGGGGCACGGAAGGAGGGAATCATCTCAGAGCAAGTCCAGTTCTTAGCAGAGCAGACATTTCATTCTCAAGTTGCGAGTCTGGCCTCCTGTGTACACGGCAGTGAGGGCATCCCTCACAGCATCCTTATCCTTTGTCTCTGCTCGTTTTAGGCAACATGATTGCTTCCTCATTTGGCTTTTCAGTGCCACATGTCACTTTCCTCAGCACAAGTTGCATGTTGCTATTTTATCTACCTTTCTAGGGTCTGCACTATGGATCTGTCACCAGACAGGACAAACGTGGTCTCAAATAGAGGTTGGGAACCTTAACTTGTTCCTCCTAGTGTAGTAGTTCATCAGTTGTTTTCACAGAAAAGCATTTTAGGATGTGTCGGTGTGAGGCACAGTCAAATTCATTAGGCAGACCTAGAAAGTAAGAGAAAATAAGGGACATCAGCTTGAGTAACTGACAGGGGCACAAGTCTGATATAACAAATCAGACTGGCCCACTGACAAAAGAATTGCATCTACCTTTTCTAACACCTCTGAGGTGTGCTAGGGGCTGGTAATTATCCATTGGCTCATGAGTAGGGCTCTTTTGGGGGGGTGCTTTTTCCTCATGTTTTGTGGGATCTGCTACTAGAGTAAGACATGGACTGTAGCTATTCTCATTCTTGGAGACACGATGGTACCCCCTGCTATTATGGAAACTGATTCTGGCCTTTCGGTAGAGGATCATGGATAGAGAGTAGAGGATCATGGATAGAGAGTAGAGGATCATGGATAGCCACATTCCCTAATTGTTAGCAAGGGAAGATAGGGCAAAAGACATATCTCAACTTTGGTGTTAACAACAGGTAATGGATGAAGGCCTGAGAGTTGTGTCTCTTTTCACCATAAGGATCTCTGTCCTGCTGCAGATCCACTGCCATGGCCACACTGGGTATTGCCCATTAGTGCTATGCTATAGGGCTCTGACCCTATAGTAAACTTCTGTCTGGCCTCCTAGGCTTTCCTTTGAAATCTTGACAGAAGGTGTCACAACCCCATAGCTCTTGCTTTCTGCATAACTGCAAAACCAGCAGTATATAAACACCAAGATCTGCTGGTGGCATAAGCAGAGCCTGAGCCTACCTAACCCACTGCAGTGGCCTTGCGTTGAATACAGGGCCAGCTCTTGGAGGATTCCTGGGCATTCATCAAGCTACTCTATCTTTCCAGGCCTTGGGGCTGGAAAGGATTTGTGAGAGGCCTCAAAACCCTTTTCCTTATTGTTTTGCCTGATAGCACATGGCCCTCTTTAGGCCACGCTAATCTTAGCAGGGATCCTGAGGCTGTTCCCTCTGGCCCTCAACATGCTTTTTAGTTCTGTCGCTGGCTAGGCTGTGGATTTCCCAAGTTTTCCTTTTCTTTTTCCCTTTGCCCATGTGTCTCACGGTAAATATGACTAAAAAACACCAATAATATCCATCCTGTAGCCTGCGTGCTTCATTGGAAACCCTCACCAGACAAATGACTCCATTATTCTTATGTTCAACTTTCCACAAAGTGATAGGGCATAAATGTATTGTATCCAGGTTCTTGGCTTATCAAAGGTACCTGTTTTCATAGTTTGAATCAGATCCTCATTTCTCCCTAAGGTTAATTCCCTATAGTCTTCTTCTTGTCACTGGCTAGAGCAGATCCATAACTACATGTTAAGATGAAAATCAGACATGGGCCAGTTCTAAACTGAAAATAAAATGGAAGTTTATTATAGGAAAGAAACACAGATGGCTGCTCCACAGACAGCAGCCAGCCCAGAAAAGGACAGCAAAGTTGGTATATCACAAACAGAGCAGCCCTGCACACAGAGCCATTTACTTCATGGGGTCTCAAAGGAATGCCATTAATTATTCATTTTTTATTACAAGGACCGGGTATCTCTGGACAGGATAAAGTTACACACGTGACTCTCATCCACGATCTGCATCCTGCTTCCATATTTTTTTCCATGTCTTTCCCCTTGATTAACCGTTTGCTTTCTCTCCCCTTCTTGTCACCCGAAAGTGGGCTGTTGGCTTTATCGAGTGGCGGCCTCCAAGTACTGTTAGCTTCCTGCCGCACCCTGAGCCCTCCCCAGAATCACACTGAATGCTCTGCTTACAGCATTATAGACTTCTTCTATCTTGTTTTTTTAAAACTCTTCCGGGGCTGGGGATTTAGCTCAGCGGCAAAAGCGCCTGCCTGGCAAGTGCAAGGTCGTGAGTTCGGTTCCCGGTACCGAAGAAAAACCAAAAAAAAAAAAAAACAAAAAACTCTTCCAACTCCTGCCTGTTACCCAAGTTGAAAACTGCCTCCCCATTTTCAGGTAGGATTACAGTAGCAATCCCACTCAGTAGTTTTCTGTCACAATCTGGATTTGTTTTTTTGTCCCTATAATAAAACAGCGGAAGCTGGAAAAAAGGAGGTTTATTCACCTCGTGATTCCTGAGGTTGAAAGCTGTGGTGCCAGGTTCAGTCTGGTGCTGGCAAGCGCCGCCTGGCAAGTAGAATCAGAACCGAAGGAGCATGTATGGAAGAGGTCAGATTGTCAGACAGAAAGACAGAGACAGGGGTCCCACAGTCCTACCAGAAAACGCATCCCCAGTGGACCTGAGGATCTCCTATTATGCCTCATCTCTTTAAAGATTTCACACCCAATATCACTGCTCTGAGCAGCTGTTTCCTAACATACCAGCCTATGTGGAACAAACTCAAACCGTAAAGTGCTAACCTGATAGACAGAAAAGTTTGGCTAGGAGGGTCACGGTATTAAATGAAATACACTGTGAAATCATTTATGAAACATTTCTTAATAACTTCATCGTGACACCACACCTAGCCCGTGTACATCTAGCCAAAGCCAAAGGCACACTCCACAACTAGCCTTTCTCAGGCCAAATTGTTGGCACTGAGAACATCTGCTGCCAATTTCTTGGAGCCTTAATTTGTTTACAGTAGTGAATTCCAGAATTATAGAAGTGAATTGTGAAAAAGATTTTAATAGGCCCTTTCCACATACTTCCTGGTATAGCATGTGACACCAGTCACTTTACCCAGGAATAAACGATATGTCACCACTTATTTAATTAAAAGTCATTACTGCAGTTGGTCGTCTTTCTTTAAGCAGAAATGTTGCATCGTGATGTTTACATGGTACTCCATCTTTGGTCTGTTTGTACCTCTGCTTCTCCAGTGTCTTCTGTGGGTGCTGCTATCTCTGTTTGTTTATCATTCACAAACTTGTAAGTAGCTGAGGTGTTAGGGACAGCGCGGCGGAGGGAGGGGAGTTAAAATCACAGAGGCAAGGCGTGGCACCCAGTTAGACCAGGAATTAAAGATTATTGGCAGAAATGTGAAGATCTCTTGGCTCCTGGACTAGATCAGTCCTTTTTCTCCTTTTTTAGGCAGCAAACCTGTCAGAGGAATTGAAGAAGGAACAAAACACCAATGCTCACTTAGAGAGGATGAGAAAGAATATGGAGCACACAATTACAGACTTGCAGAAAAGGCTGGATGAAGCTGGACAGACTGCCCTGATGGGGAACAAAAAGCAAATCCAGAAACTAGAATCCAGGGTAAGGGTTTGCCTGGGAAATCGTGAGGCCTTGACAACCCCCAGTTCAAGGGTTATTGTCTGGGAATTTCACGCATTACAACCGTCATCACTTCTTTGCCTTTAGCACTTGCAGATCTGTCCGACTCAGCATGTCTGCTATCGATATATCCATTCATTTCCGTTTGACTTTGGGCTGGCGAGGAGGACTTTTCTTGGATTGGGTGAAATATGCCTTCCCTCTTACTATTAAGTGGAAATGCAGCTCCTCCCTCTCACCACACCAAGGGAAGGATGACTGTATCCAACACACCCTTGCTGCCTTGTTTCTGTACCTTTGCTCCTGTTATTTTCTCTGTAGAAAATACCTATTCCCTAACTGTGAGAGAAAGGAGAAAAACAAATCCGTGATCAAGAGGAACTCATTGCAGATAGATACAGGAAGAGCTGACAGAAATGATGCAGTATCTTCCCTCAGGGAACTTGAAAACACATGGGAAGACTGATCTTGCTAGGAATTTTAAAATTATTGAATCAGCTTCAGTAACTATGTACAGGGCATATGATAAATAGTACAAAAGTTAAGAGAATATTCTGCTGAGATTTGACGGTTCAAAGAGGAATCTGAAAGTAATGCATGACTATACCTTTATATCCCATCCACACAATGGAACATCAGTGCACGTTTATGATGTATATGTACAATTATGCTGATGAAAAAGAAATGAGGAAATATGAAGACATATAAAAATTTCCTCCTACTATCAAAAAGAAACAATGACAGTATAAATTAAAAACTAATGAACTAACAAAATGACTACCCTCAGGAAAACATAGAGATGAAATTGAGCCCTTCTGCACATACCTCTTTAAAGCTGTTTTGATTGCAAAATCATATAAGCCACCTACATACTTCAGAATTAAAAAATAAGTAACACATTTCTGCCCACTGGAACCACCAGTGTTACATGCAGGATTGCCCTTTGGGCAGCTTGAACCACTGGTGGTTAGCTGTCTAACATTATGTGTTAAGTCTTCACATTTGTGTTAAGTCTTCATGTTTCCTCCATTCCTTACACAAAATGATATATATTCTCCATATTACCTTCATGCTTTATCATTGCCACGCTACTAAGTGTGCTCTCCAGGACATATTCCTGAGCTCTGCCTGATTTCTTTTTCATCAGCATAAATGTATGTATGTATCATAAATACGTACTGATGTTCCATTGTGTGGATGGACTACAAAGGAATTCAAATGAGAGCCACCTAGCAGTGAGATGTACAAATTATGGCCCCTTCATGAATGTGTTAAGTCGATCAGAAAAACTCAACCATCCTTAAAATGTTAATACCAGTGGCAGCTAATGAAGCTAGCTAGATATCACCTTGGGGAAATAAAACACACACAAATAATTATTCCCACTGATTTTAAATATTTAAATGTGATGTTTTTCTGTATAGCTTTCATAGAATATATCTTAAAGGCAAAAACTGGTGTGTGGGAGGGGGCAAACTGCATTTATTAACCCAAAATAACATCTTATGTGTACTAACATTAAGGTTAGTATGTTTCTACCACAACATGTATAATAATATGGTTTAGATCTAAGATGTCCCCAGTGTCCTGTGTTCACAGTGGATCTTTTGGGAGGCAAGTGGGTTGTAAGGATGCTAAGCTCTTCAGTGGACTAATCTGTTGATGAGTACATAGCTGCATATGCTGTTAGGAGGTAGGCTGGAGGAGGTGGCTCACAGGGGTACCCCTGTGGAGGGTGTATCTCTTGTGGGTGCTCTTCCCCTGTGTTCTGTCTTCTGGCTACCTTGAAATGAGCAGTGTTGCTCCACCATGCCTTTTCACCATGATATTTCTGCACCGGACCCAGCCAACCCTGGATGGAAACCGTGAGCTAAAATAAACTCCTTCTTCAAGTTGTGGGAATCAGGTATTTTGTCCTAACAATGAGAAAGATGACTCATATATATATAAATAAAACACAAATATATATAAAAAAAACCTAAGATTTTTAACAGAAGTATAAAATCAAAGAACTTGCAATGTCCTTATTTCCTTAAAAATATATGAATGATACTGGTATGTCCAACTCCAATTTAAGACTGTAGGGTTTTATTCTACTTCAGTTGTGGTTTGCTTCTTGTTATGATGTAGAACCAATGAAAACTCAGTAGCAGTCAGCTACTGTATAAGATGATATTAAAGAGTTACAGTTAATTTTCTGAAAAGTATAATTAGAATACCATTGTTTTAGTCATTTGTTACAAGAACAAAGTACCTGAGACCGGGTAGTTCATAAACAATGAGAGTTTATTTGGCTTATGATTCTGGAGGCTAAGGAGTGCAAGAGTGTGGCACTGGCATTAGCTTGGCTCTGGTGTGGGCCTTTTGGCTGCATCGTATCATGACTTGGGTGTCACGTGGTGAGACATCGCTAGAATGCTACAGCATGTCTCTTCCTCTTCTTATAAAGATGCTAATGCCATCATTCAAGACTTGCCCCCTTGACCTCCTCTAGTACTGATTACCTCTTTCTCAAAGGCATCACCTCCAAATATCTTTAACATAGGAATTTTGGAAGAAAGTTTGCAAGATATGAACAGGAGCTAAGTTTGAGCACATGAACATTTGGGAGACACATGTAAATGCCTAGCAACCATTAATACCTGTTAGCATTACACAAAAACTAAGATTTGTTTTACTAAACCTGTTTTTCACCTTCATGGTCTTAATCCTTTTAAAGACAAAACAAAGCAAAAAATTCCTTAACAAGTTTTTTAGAAAATAAAGGAGTGGGGTCTCTGTTAGTTAACACCCTGGCAACTGTGGCTCAAGCTCCTAGC